ATGTGTGTGTGTGTATGTGTGTGTGTGTGTGTGTGTATGTGTGTTCGTGTTTGTATGTGTACAAACTACATGTTTATACAACAAGTGTGTACTACGCAGTGACTTAAACAAGGCCCTATCTCTCGAAATCGTGAAGGACAAATTATAAACAATAAAATCTCTTTTAAATTTGGGCACTAAACTTCAAAAAGTTAGTATAAAATTGATGCATCAACTGCACAGCTGTCTGATAACAACGTGATGTGTCGCTTTTCGGGTTCTCCACGATGAATACTCCACAGACAAATAGCCATGAACCCCAACGATGGCCTGAAGAGTAGCTGCTTGATAGAACTCCTATGAGTAGATTGTTATCTATTTGGAGAGATAATCCCCAAGCTCAACTCAGTAAGAGGATAAACGGGGACCTTGTCGGGATCCGGAAATGAGGTGGACATGGCTGGAAGGGATTTCTGTCTTTCACAAGGGGTGGGGCATTAGTAAAGAGACATTTGAATGATGAGACGTTGTTCCAGGCTATTCGAGACCCTTGCCATAATTAGCTGTTGTCGCAGCTGTTTTGTCCGTATGTCAACAGTATTGTCATGTCAACACTTAATTTTTAAGCAAGAGGAGATGGACTAGGTAGGAGCATCAGAAAATAAAGCCTCAGTTTAGGCACACAGTAGGCCTATACCGACAGAGTAAGCCAGAAGGGCGAAAGTAAAATTTGATCCATTATGACAAAACAGTGGGTGTCGCATTCAACGAGGTTGCCGGGACCGGCTTGTTGTCCTCGTTGGAGATCCGACTTCTCGTTGAATGTGACTAAGGCTAAAGAAAAGAAAGGAGACAGGTTGTTGTATGACACGATGTACCAATACCAGTAATTACAACAGTTGATCCCCCTGATGACGAAAATCTCAAACAGCATCAGTGTGTGCGTGTTTGAGCTGTGTTCTGACCCTCATTTCTGAATTTCTAAATATTTTTTTTACGGAACACTTCCCGTTTGGAAACATACCCTCTCACATCTAGGTTCAGAGCTACATAAAGTAAAGGCGGGAACTTGGATTTTCTGATCAGGTGAAGAAAAGAAAATTGAAAAAAATGAGGGTTTCGATCTAGACCTACCCATCCACAGTTCACCCAGTTTCACACAGCCTGTATCGCGTTCCCGGGATCCCACCCACCGCCTCCCATCCCTACCGTAGGCTTACCCTCGCCCATCCTCTTGACTTTGGGGCCCATATATTAGGAGGCATACTAGATCTAGCAATACAATGTGTTAGGAATCGAGGATGGGCCTTGTGCATCGCGTGAGAGTGGGAGTAAAGAGAAAATGGTTACTGCAACCTCTTTGAAAGCGACTTCGGTCTGTTTGCAACCTCGTTGGAGCTGACTTCTCGTTGAATGTGACCTCGTTGAATGCGTCACCAACTATATAGACAAACTACACGTTTCGTCGCTGTGCAGTTCAGATGTACAACGCCCAAAACTTTGGAATAATAATTAAAAAAAAAAAAAAGCAACGACCAAAACAAAAACACCACAGACCGGGTGGTACGGGTAGCATAATTTATGCTCAAAATCATTTTGTTTAAATTAAAGTTGTGAACGTTGAAAAATAACTAAATAAAACGAAATTAAAAACACTCTTTTAAATGCAATACGTATTGACAAAATAATGAAATATTGTTATTTTCTCTCCACTAAAAAATGTTGCTGTCTGGACCTAGTACATTTGAATAGCTTGTTGACGATATTATATTATACAACGTTATCTTTTATGCCTTTGGAAAGTGGGGATAAATGGAATAGTCTTCCCGTAGGCTATCTCATTAAACGGAAAGTCAAATCTTTTCAGGTGACCCATTTGAAAGGAGCAAAATATTTCCAAGTGGGCTTGTCTAATCTTTCTGTTTTCGGAAATAATTTGTCTTTTAGATCCCCTCTTTATCCTAAGAAGCTTTATTCTTAACTGTTCTAAACAATTTTTTAAAGCCTCATAAGAAATCCCCGATAAAAATCATGATAGATCTAATTATTTGCCAGTTTGTTTATTTTATCGAAATGCCAGTCAGCAAGTCTCCCCACTGGAGCTAAATTAGGTCGAACCCCCTCCAAGATGCCAGAAGGAAAACAATAGCCTATGTTGGGTTGATGCGCTCCGACATGCCTCTGACTAGAGATCAACCACGTAAAGCAAGGGATTACCAGACTACAGGCCGTGGGCTACATCTGGCCCTCCAATTCTGTTCGTCTTGTCAGCGAAATGTCATCATGCCTTAACCCCCC